ATTCTCTTTAGAGCTTTCAAAAAAATATTACAATTAGTTTGTTTGAACAAAAATGAAATATTCTATATTGCGAAAATGAATGGGCAGAACAGACATGGCACCGCTGATCTAGATTTTGTATACTTTATAATGTGAATGTCTGATTCATAACGTTGCACACTTTTTAATGAAGTTATAATACCCACTGCAAGTATGTAAAATTAGGCACTTAAAGTTCCTCTATTAATTTTTTACAGCATGTTTCAACAGGTTTGCATTTTGGCTCGGCTTCTTCAAATCTATTTTTTGGGTTTATTATTTTATTCGATTCCTTTACTGCATTTCATTTATGCGCATACAGAGGGCGACTGCTCGTTTGCATTCTAAATAAGTGTTCCCGGATAGTTCGTTGCTTTTGCCCGCCCTTTCTCGACTAAAAAGCCAAGATGCACATTGCCAGTCCACATTCTTCTGTTCTCGGCCAACAATAGGGAATGACTTTCAAGCTGGGTTCAACCCCATTTTCTGCTGAGCAGCAGATGCCGCACTTGAAGTTTGCAGTTGCAATTGCATTTTGGTGGTTTCATGAGTTCCTTGCGAAAATGAGTTTGTAATTGACTTTATTCGGGAATGAAAAAAATCGGTTCATTGGACTTACGGCGATAAAAAGAAATTTAAACCAATCGATGGCTTTTGAATTGCAATTAAATTTTGGTCTTATTTTTATACCAGTCACTTGTAAAGTAAGAGAAGTAAGAAGTATGAAACAGGTAAAGGGTAGCGTTTCTAATCCTATCTCGGAAACTAAACTCTAGCTCTTATACTTGGGACTTAACGTGAATATTCTAGTTATAACTACGAAGCGAAAGGTTTTTTTCAAAATTTAGACACACCAAAATTAAAGCCACACAAATCGTGAAATGTTTTGGGCGGTATATAATTATTTCAACAACAATTAATAAACCACACTGAATTTTCATCTCTGTACATCATTATATCGTATTATCTAAGTTTAAATTTAAAAAAATTAGTTAGGCATGATAAACCACAAACATTTTAAAATAAAATAGGCTCATATTTCTTTCATTTTGCATTACATATCATAATTTAAATTTGCCACAAGCAATTCAAAAATACAAAAACAAACAACCCACCAACATGGATGGAATTTGTAGATTTTATTGTTGATACTTTTCCAGCTAAATATGAAGCCATCGGATCCGAAAAAATCAACAAAGACAATGAAATTAGAACTAAAGTAGCGGCTAGCGCAACTGCGTTTCAAGCTCTAGATATACAATTTTTGCCTCACCAGCAGCAACATCAGCAGTTACCAAATGACAGATCATCGGGCTTAGCTCTCTTATGGTTTTTTGAGCGGCTCCCACGCGTTTTCCATTTCAGTTGTTTGGATGAGAAATAAACTACTTGAAACTCCCCGAGCTGTGCTCAAGAGCTGAACCGAAACTATGAAATGCGACATAAATGTGCGGATGGCAACAGTGGGATTTGTGGCAGGGAGCTGGAGAGGCAAAAGACCCATTTACATGGCCTCAGCAATTTTAAGTGCATTTGGACATTAGCCGGGCAAGACAAAAATCTGAGAGTTGAAGAGGGGCTGGTTCACGTTCCTTGTTTGCGTCCTCCGCCTTTCATAGTCGGGTAATTTGCCACAGAATTTATTTCAATTGCTCTTAAACGAAGTAAAGTGTTCCGATTGCGATATTCACTGTGGGTGAATATACGATGACGACGACATCATTACGTTGAAAAAGTCATTAGAAATGTGGCCCACGCATCCTCAAAAGCAGTGAGTCTGCTTCCACCTTGGTGGTGATGGTTTGAAGGTAATATTAGTTAGTACGTAATCGGTTGCTTAAATAAATGGTATTGTTCAGTAACTATCAATGAGTATTTAAATTGCATTTTATAATTTGTTTTATGGCAGATTTAAATTAAATGTGCATCAATTAAATTTATAAGCTTAACAAGGTTGTGGTTTGTTAGTTTAAAATTTAACTAACCTAACTTAACCTCACCTCACAGCAACTGTTCGGGCTTAAGTCATGAATGCACCCAATAAATCTGTTTAACTTTTTTCTTGGCCTATTGTTGCAGCTGTTGAGCAACTATCAGCAATAAAATTACAAACTTTAACCAAAGAAATTAGCAGAACAGCAAACGCCACGAAAACGAGCCACACCTGTTGCTGCTCCCTTCGTGGCCCGTAAAGATATCATTAAATTTCACTTAAGCTGTTCAAGGATCCCCAGACTGCGCTACACAACGCAGACAACGACAACTACAATGGCAGTGGCAATTCGTGTTGCCGGGCGGCAGGGAGAAGTTGCTCGTGCGCCGGGCGACGTCCAAGCTCCAGCCAGCGGCAGCAAGTGCCAAAAAAAGTGGTTTAGTTTTCGCTTTTGTTTTTCACCCTGCCATTTTCAGGCAGAGGCGCGTGCGGCTTGCATTTGTTAGCGCTGCATTTCCGCGACTTTCCTTCGCCTTTCCCGCCTGTCTGCGAGAGCGTGCGAGTTGTTGTACTTTGTGCTTTCGACCCACATTTGTCTTTGGTCGGGATTTTCACCCTGGATTGACCTCGTCTGCGTTAAGCATTTTCATTCACAGGCTTCTTGTTGTTGTTTGGTGTGGAATTTGGCTCTTTGTATATTGCATTCAATCTTGGCAATGTTGCTGCCAATAGTTTGCTGTAGTTGCTGCATCTGGTATTACTGTTGCTTGCTATGATGATGTCGCTGCTGCCCATAATGCTGGTGCTATTGTTCTTTCTGCGGGAGTAACTTTCTGTGCTGTATCTACTTCCGTTTCTTGTGGTACTAGGAGCTGGGCTTCTTCCAACGTTGTTTCTTACTCAGTAGAATTTTTAAATTAAAATTAGGCTTGCCCCCTTTGCATAATGCACTGCGGTTTGGTCAAGATGTGTGTGGGAAATTTATTTTTCATGAAGAAAATGCTATGTTTGCTGCAGGATACAAAGCAAAGAAGATGGCTTTAGAAATCAAGCCAAATATGTGCATGTTTACACAGTATACTTTGGTTACTTTTGGTTACGTTCCTTCCATTTCGTGCAAAGAATAGAAATGTCTTTAATCATGAATTGAATCTAAAGTATTGAGGATAATTGATGAAATTCTTTGTACCTTTATGCTCCTGCCTTTATTTGATTTGGTTTTTAAAGCCTACGTTTCTGTTTTTGATTTATGGTTTTGCGACATTTAATATTTGCCATTTTTATTTAATATTTACTGTGGCAAATGGATTTTGGCTTGCATTTTGTTTGCAGTTTTATTGGGTTTCTGGGTTATGTTTGCCACACTATTTTTGTTTTCAATTAAATTTATGTTTCAAATAAATAACATTTCTCGCCCGGCATTTACTTATTTGAGTACTTTTAAGTTTGGCTAGATTATTTCTTGGTCTGCTGACAAGATTTCAATTTGACTTATGGCCGCCTGTCGCTTGGCACGATGGAAACCACTCGTCGCAACGAAGATTTTGCTGTTGTCGTCGCTCCCATAGCACGCGTATCTGAGGGATCGCCGGGCATGCAATAGTGCTACAGCTAACACATGTTTCGCTAAATAATTGAAATTTCTGGCATTGTGTGTCCCAAGTATTTGGCTTTTTTCTCATCTCGATGTCATCCAAAATCAGGCATAGTGCCAGCCATGGGCCGATTTCTCCTCTCATCTGGTCAGAATTTCTGTCTGTGCTTGGAGCATACTATTTTGGAGGATCTAAACTGGATCTGTTTACTATTTGTCACAAATGTCAATGTACTTCAGTCATGGAATTGAGATCTGCAAAACTTTTGTAAAGTAGGAAACCATATTCACTGAAACAAAAGACAATAAAAGAAAAATGTTAGCGTGGATGTTAAGGGCGACTTTGCAAATTGGCAGTTTCTAGGGGACTTAAATTTTCTGCACTTGAGAAGGTTATTACAATAATTTATAAAATGTATAACTTAAATGCTTTAATCTTTAGAGATGGCATGCAGGTTTCTAATACTGTTATTCTAGAGCCCATAACGTCACCAATATGACCCGATTTCAAACTGTTGTTAAAATATATATATATATATATACTAATTAAGTTTGCATTAAAATTTTTTTTTTAGACTGTATAAATATTATGAATGGCTTATACAAAGAAAGTTGTAGAGCCCATACTTTCACCTAGCCGATCCCGATTTTGAAATTCTTTTACTAAGTCAATCATAAATGCTGATAACGACAATATGAACCGTCCGCTGGTCGCTTACGCAAAGTAATAATTCTTTTCCCTCTATCTATCACCCTTTTGGTTATTATTTCAACCTAATGCTTTTTATCAATTTTATAATTTATGATAGTAAAATATCAGTAAAGTTTCGCAGTGATTTTAAATATCCCATAAAGTGTGAATTGAATGAGCAAGAGAGATGATAAGCTTAGCATTTTAGAGAGGGCCTGCGTTTTCTTTTTGATGGTTATTGTTTGTTGTAGAACAATGTTATGATAATGTTATATAATATGAAATGAAAAATGCAGAAAATGTTGTTTAATGTATGAATTAACTTTCCAACCTTTTATTATAATTTTTGTTATATATTGTATCATAAACCTTATTATTGCTAAATGTCTTACCTATTAAATTGCATCATTTTTTTTAAGGAACTTTGCTTTCAATTTTTTATTTATCACATTGAATTGTGTTTATGCTCGCTTGAAAGAGAAATCTACCGCTTGTGTAAATAAACATGACTCAGATATTCAAGAATCGAAAATAAACAAAACTATATAAATAGGGTCGGCAGTTTACGAAAAGTTTGCCATTTGCTGCTGGCAACGGAAGTCTGCCTGATTTCTTCCTGTCCTATCGTCTGCTTCTATTTTTCCACTATTTCCAACTAACTCATAAAATAAAGATACAATAGCTTAAGGATATCCTTATAATTAAAAATTTGCCACTCAACAAAATGCAAAAAAAAAACGTTTTCACTCTTCTTTTCGTTTTAGGTAAGTTTGTTGTTTGTGGTTGATCTGAAGGGCAACTCATTTGTTAACATGAGTCAAGCTGTAAGTGAACACCACTCATATTTATTATTATTAAAATATAAAATCCTAAGTAGATGTAAGTCAAAGCAGCTGAGCGTGCGCGTTCAAGTGCCAGCAGTGAAAATGCGAAAAGAATTAAAAACATTTGTGAGTTTTCGAAAAAGTACATATAAATGTTATTGCCTTGCCTGCCCGTTAGTCCGTCTGTTTTTCCGTCTGGTCAAAAATGTTCCTAGAATATTTCTCATTGCATGACCAAAGCAAAAGATTCGACAGTGCGCCGCCAGTTATTTTTATATTTTGTTTCATTTTATTTCGATTTGATTTTCCTGTCGTAGTGTTGTGCATTTTGTTGCCGCTGCAATTGAATTGCAAATATTTGCGCTACAATTTCTCAGCGTGCCATAGATAAATAAATGAATTTTCGATTGTATTTTATTAGCAGTAAATACAGTTCCAATTTTCACATATTGCGTATACGCTCGTGTGCGCCGGCAGTTCATTAGATGAAGTGGCTTCGTACCAAACTTCTTAAATAAGGCATTTCGTGTGTGTTGAAGATATACTGGTATGTTTCAGCATTCTGGTTTCGCAGCGCAAAGAACATTTTTCCTTCTTTCTGTGAAAGTTTCATCAGTCTAAAGCGTCCTCCTGCCAGCTAAAAATAATGTTTACGATTTTATTTATTTTTCATGTTCAGGGGCTGTTTTATATGTTGTTCTTATAATTGGGTGTGTCTGCCAACAGCGTTGGAATAAACTTCTGTGGACCTCTTGGCGGCCATAAGTCAATAGTTGGAGACGTTTTAATGGTTCATTCACCGTGTAAATCTGGTTCGCCGCTAGTATTCGCTATTTAAATTAATATACATATAATTCATGCTAGCTATCATGCATTCCATTTACCTGCTGCTCGAGATAAAATCTGTTGTCCATAACAAGAATTAGGTCAGCATGAACTTCTTTCTAATTGAAGAATATACTACTACTAACGAGTGGTAGGTAAAAATGTTATTCCAATTTAGTTGACAATGTTTTATTTGACTGGTATAAGACAATAAGTCTAATAAAGATATTATTTTTCCTCTAAAGAAGACAAATGACAAGTTTTAAAGATTTGTTTCTCTAAAAGAAGCAATAAACTTTTGTTTCTACTAAAACGATCAAAGCTATTCCCACCTACTCAAATTAACCAGAAAAACTTGAAGCACGCAATTTCCCATGTCTGAATCAAAATTTGAATATCCATTTGTTTTATTTTTGCAACATCACCGGAAACAGCAGAAAAATGAAATTTATAGACGTTGCCATAGTTGTTGGCTGCGGTATATAAACAATGCAACAACTTGTATATTTTTAGTGCCATAATTATGGCATAGATTTATGGCATATAGAGCACCGACACACATTTCGCCATTTATTAAAGACTTTAATAATGTACGGTAATCAGCGCGAAGATTAATGTGGCCAACAGAAAGTGGCTAATGTCGAAGTGCCTTCAAAATATGATCCATCTACCGAAGGCGCCGCTTGAAATAAAATGTGGTAATCGTTGCAATAGTGGCTCGATTCCATTTCATCCTTGCGTTAAGTGTATGCTAAATTGTAAAATTATTTTTATAGAGCTTGAACAAATCTTCCCGGTTATTTGTTTGCTGTTTATTTTTTTTATTACAATGATGCTATGAGAATGCACTGCTTTTATTGGTAAATAATTTTTAATCAAAATGTTTAAATAATTGTTATTACGTTTTTAAGTTTCTAATATAAATGTAGTTTTTCTAATAGTTGTGAATCGCACTGTTTGGGCATGCAAAAAAAAATAGTATTTAATATGATTCCTCGGGGTAATTTGTCCTCTTGAAGCAACACTTGTTGCTCATAAAAAATGCTTTTTAAAATATTCCAAGCAAATGTTTCGCTTAATATTCCAAGTATTGTTGTGCTTGCCACTTGGCGTGGGTTGAGTTTTGGTCGGTTCGTTTGGTTGGAGCGTGGCCAAGTTATGCACTTCTTGACGCCGAATCAAAAATAGATCGCGACGTAAAAATGAAAACAAATGAAGTGTTTATATGTTTGTATAGAGAAATGTGGATATTTGGCAGATATAGATGTCCGATACGAAGCCAATTAATTTGCGTTGACTTCTGATGATGTATTAAATGGTTTAGAATGAGATATGTGCTTACCGGCGTGTATACCTTTTGTTGTAAATAAATAGGGAAACAATTGCCTTTTAAGTATATATTGAGTATTTGTAGGACAACTTGACAGTTTCATATTGCAATGAATTAAGTTAGAATTTCTTGGGACAGCCTGGGATTCATTTCGCACGGCGAAATCTTCAACTCCTTCTTAGTGCATCAGCTTGATGGGTTTGACGGCCTTTTAGCTAATGAACTTTGGGAGGCAACGGCAACAGGAGCAGCATAATGAGCTATTATGATGGCTGAGCTGCACAAGCTCAGTATGGGAGTTTCTCGGGGCCTTGGAATATGGAATTAAGCAATGTCCATTAAGCATTTGAAAGGCTCACGTTTGACCCACTCCGCGCGTGCAAGTGTGGGTGGGCTGAGCTAGTGTGCGTGCGGTGGCACGGCTTTCAACAATATTCTTCCACCTAGCTTTCGCACACGTGCGCCAATTTGTATGCAAGCCTCGCCTTCTTCGACTCCTTGGCCCATTTTGCTCCTTTTGCTTCTGGCTTTGGCTGGCAGCAAGTTGCTAAACGATTGCGCTCTCGAGTGCAACGAGGTCGCTCCCGCTGTCAGAGCATCTGCTAACCCGTTTAAGGAGCGGCATCGGTCCCGTTCGGGGATCAGCTAGCTTTGTGGGGAGGTAACTTCATTAGGGGTCCTGACCGCTAATCGCGTATGCACAGATCATTTAGTCGCCCAGCAGCTTTGATGTATGCCACTTACTCTGTGTAATCTGTTGCAAACGGATGGAAAAGCACAACTTACATTTAAAGTAAGGTCTAAAATGCAAACTTGACTACAGAAATTTATATTACCACTATATTACTTATTTAATTTTAAAAGCTTTGGCTTTATGATTTTGAAATAGGTATGATTGAAATCAAATGTTGAAATTTAAAATCTTAACGGTGTGATTTTTTCACTTAAAGCGTGTTTTAAAAAGGTATTGTATTATGTTGATGTATATATTTTTATTTTTTTGTTTTTGATAATTGTTTAGGGCTTGCGAATCACGTATATGTTTTCGGAAAGCTGCAGTTGAGCGTAATGTATTTAACCGAACGTGCCGCTACTGGCACCACTTCAGTTAGTGGCCGTGGCAAAGGAGAGCGCTCGGCAATCGCAATGCGAAGTTATAATTTATTTAAGCATCCATTAAGGTGCACATATTGATGATCCCAGGATGTTGATGCTGGGGCCCCACTTGAGAAGTAGGAGCTGAGTGCAATTGCTACCTCGACAACGCCCGGGCAATTACTTTTGAGTTATTTGGCTTAATAGAAATTCAGCGAGCGTGCCGTGTTTGTCTTGTTCCAGCCATTACCCCCACTTCTCGACCTTCACCCGCCACTTTTCCTCCCCACTCTATGCTTTTTAAGAATCCCAGGACTCACTTTGATTTTCATAAGTAAATGTTGGACCTCCCTTTTGCCTAGCCCAGCCTAACTTGTCTCCAGAGCAAACTCGACCGCGGGGGTATGGACGAAGATGAAGAGCCTGGGGATGCGCTGAGCGCTTTGAGAATCGATTATGAAATATTTGAGCTGGGCGAAATGACTTATGAGACACAAAAGAGTCCAAAAGACGCACAATGGCCACCACACACGGCTGGGCAAGTTATCATTGTTACATGTTCTGGGGCGAGTCATGGGAATGACTGAGGGCTCAGTGATAAATTCGCTGCTTTGTCCTGCGGCCTGGCCAAAGGGATACTCTACTACGCTTTTGTTAGCATTTTGACACTAATAAATTGAACAAAGAAAAAGCGACACGTTCAACAAAAAAATTGATATTAATTTTCGCACATTCTTGACGGTGATTTATGCCCTCGTTTTGATGAATTTTCAATTTCGAACTTTACTCATAAATGCCATAATTTATGCTCGTATAACATTTCCTAAAAATTAAATTAAATTTCCTTTTTTTCTCTTTTCTTTTTTCAGGTAAGTTTGCACTACGACGAAAAAGAAAACGTAAGTCGGAATCATTTTGGCCATTAATTTATTTATTAATTACCCCGAGGGATCGGCAAACGGCAGAAAGCAAACAACTTCCTGGCCATTTCCGTGAAACCTTTTAAATAATTAATAATGCGCAACGTAATCGATTTTCATATAAATTGAGATTTATTTTGCCGTCTACGAAAAACAGCAAGAGCAACAGAAAACGGCTAATTTATTTTCCCTAGTTGCGCATTTTTATAGTGCAATTATCACGCCCCCCAGTTCGAGTGGCATACACACTCGCATTTTGGATACAAATCCTATAAATTAGTCAAACAAGCCGAAGAAAGAAACGAAACCCATGACCCAAACTGCTTCTATTTGGACAGTTGATTAATCGACAAACGCATTATGTTTTACTAATGTCTTTTCCTAACTCCTGGCCGCGTGTATGTGGGTTTGGGGCTTTTGTTTCTCTTCTTGTGTGTAACCGATGCCCAATTAAGTCGTTGCTCAAAGTGTCATCAATAGGCCCCGCAATTGGGAATTAATTGCCAGCAAATTTGCCCCTAACTTGTCTAGGTATCATTTGCCGCAAAAAAGATAAACGACCCAAAGGGCAGAGAGTTATATTTTGTTCTATTGGGTTTTACCAACTTAGCCTGTCCTTTTTATACCCTTGCAAAGGGTATTATAATTTTGGTCAGAAGTTTGTAACGCAGTGAAGGAGAAGTATATATATTATTGATCAGGATCAATAGTGGAGTCGATATAGCCATGTCCGTCTGGCTGTCTTTCTGTTACACTACCGTTTGCGAGCTCCGTTTAAAAGCTGGCGATCTAAAATTTTCACAGTCGTCCTAAAACATGTGTACGCAGATCAATTTTGAAACGTCTATTCCTATAGCTTCCATTGGAACAATCGGATATAACTTGCAAGAATTGAAGATATTTCGCGCAGTGTAAAAGCTAAAGACATGCATCTTTCCAAATCTTATTTTTTTAAGCATACCTTGATCAGGGTAAAAGTGCGTGCCGATCGGACGTCTATATCTTATAGCTTCCATGGGAATAATTGTTAAAAGCTGTGAAAATTTCACTTGCCGAAGTTAGCTCCCGTCCTCGTTTTCTTCTGGTATTTACCCTAATTGTTGCTTCTTGTTAGCTTTACTTCAAAGCAAATTTTGTTCTAATGAATGTGAAGCGTAGGAATTGCGTCTTTCTATCTAATTGTGGTTGACATAAATCTTTTTGACTGAAAAATGGAAAATACGAGAGGGACCTAGGTGCTTGTTTTGCTCAATCATCGCGCCATGGCGTGCGATTCTTGATAATATTTAAATGATATCTTCGAGGGCAGATGCTGAAATTTTTAAGATTTTCAATTTATATCTTTGTGCTTTGGAGTGTGAAACTTTCTAATGGTCGTCGTTATGCAACACATCTTCAAAGTAAATAATACAATTAAACAAGAAAAGAAAAAGTTTTAAACTTGATATTACAAATATAATACAACCAAAATATACTTCTAGATAATTATTGAAAAATCAACATAAAGATAATCTATATTTTTTATGGTTTAAATAGAAAATTGGTTTTTCTAAAAGTTATAAAAATTTATTTGCTTCTTTTTTGTTTGGTTCTCTTAAAATTTATTTAATTTTCGTGCATAACTTATTATTTATATTTGATTTTTAATTTTATTAAATCAACTTGAAATTTCGAAAGAATCTCCCTTTTCAATTCTTTGATTAGCCCTCGAGAGAGTAAACTTTTTCCTCTGGCTTCCAATTGCAGTTGCCTTGTGTCGGTCCGTTTTCCGTCATTTTTATTTCTCTCTCGCGCTTATTTTTTCAACGTTTTACTCAATTATGAAAAGAAATTATTAAGTGCGAGCTGCGCTAAATTAGCGCGCAATTGAGTGTGGCCAGGGGGTGGTGAGGTGTATATAGAGGTGTTGGGGGTGGACAGGAGACAGCCGGCTTTTCCCTGCTGAACCATGTGTACAACGCCTTCGGTCACCTCTTGCCTGTTCCCTCATAATTTTTGCCACATTCTAGCCAGACTGCCTCACGTACGAGTGAGGTTCCGGGGGATAGTGTTTATAAATGACGCATATTTTGTGCATTTCATTTGCGTGATTTGCCAGCCAAAATGTAGCTTTTCCTGGTGCGGTTGCCTGTGGCCTCTCCATGCAAGATAAATGTCTCTACATTGTCCCACCGAAGGGAAGATATATCTACTGGCTGACTGACGGATGATAATTCCGGAAGGGGGACGTGGAGGATCGGAGGCTGACAGGCGGTTCGGGTAGGGTAAGTGCAACAGGTGGCATTCGCCACAGCTACTTTGTTGGGAATGTTTGCCGGGGATTTCTGTGCAAGTTGCTTGGACGTGTGCCAAAATGCAGTGAGTGCGACTCTCCGGTTGCACAGCAGCAACGTCATCGCTTTTGGTTATCAGAGCGAGCCAAGATGGATGTTTAATTGACCGCAAATAGAAACTATAAATTATACCAACAAAAGATGCCACCCCCCAGCTGCTGCCGCAGCTAATAAAAAAATTGCCGTAATGAGGTTCGAGATTCAAAAAGAGCCAATAGAGGAGAGAAATTATATATGTCGTGCGTTCAACGCCTTGGCGTGTTTTATTAGTCTCAGCAACTGGGGCAATTTTGCAATTGACAATTCCAGAGTAAAATAAAACAAAGAGCGTGAAAAGACTCGCTCAAAATGAATCTCAAACTACACCTGTTTATGATTGAAGCTAAAGTTACTTACATTTTTATACACTTGCAGAGGGTATTATAATTTTGGTCAAAAGTGTGCAACGCAGTGAAGGAGACATCTCCGACCCTATAAAGTATATATATTCTTGATCAGGATCACCTCCTGAGTTGATATAGCCATGTCCGTCTGTCCGTCTGTCCGTCCGTCTGTCCGTCTGTCCGTCTGTCTGTTTCTACGCAAACTAGTCTCTCAGTTTTAAAGCTATCGAATTGAAACTTTGCACACACCCTTCTTTCCTTTGCACGCAGTATATAAGTCGGAACGGCCGGGATCGGCCGACTATATCCTATAGCTGCCATATAACTGATTGATCGGAAATGCCATAACTCTGCTGGTTGTTAAGTTAGGAAGTTGGGATTTTCTATGGGTTTTATATTTGGCCAATTAATCCGACCTACCAAATTTCATAAGGATCGGCCGACTATATCTTATAGCTGCCTTATAACTGATTGATCGGAAATGCCATAACTTTGGTGTTTGTTAAGTTAGAAAGTTGGGATTTTCTGTGGGGTTTATTTTTGCTCAATCAATACGACATATTAAATTTCATAAGGATCGGCCGACTATATCCTATAGCTGCCATATAACTGATTGATCGGAAATGAAATAACTTTGGTGTTTGTAAAGTTAGAAAGTTGGGATTTCCTATGGGTTTTATTTTTGGCCAATTAATCCGACCTACCAAATTTCATATGGATCGGCCGACTATATCCTGTAGCTGCCATATAACTGAACGATTGGAAATGCCATAACTTTGGTGTTTTTAAAGTTAGGAAGGTGGGATTTTTTATGAGTATTAAGAATTCATCATATGAATAATTTTGGAGAATATATCTTGCAGAATATTCTGCAAGGGTATTTCAACTTCGGCTCCGCCCGAAGTTAGCTTTCCTTTCTTGTTTATTTCTAAATAACTAATTTCTATAATTTTTTTTTTGTTTCATTGAATAATGTAGGATTTTAAATGTTATGGCATTTTTAGACGAAACTTTATTCCAAAAAATATTTTTTTTTTATTTTTTTTTTTTATTCCGTCTGAAATGAACAGACAGGGAAAGCAATTTTCGCCAATGACTGTGGACCAGAAGGCTAACTGGAGCACAATCCACTCAGAAAATATACATTTAAAAGGCAGTCGGGCAGTCATGATCACTATCATGTGGCAAAAGAATACAACTCACAAATGGACCCTGTCAGCTAAATATTTATGCATGAGATTGAAAATAAAGTAGAAGTCAATATTAGATCATCCGAGCTTTCTTGGAACTTTTTGAATTCACAGAAACTACATTATCAGGGACAGTAGCAGCCATACCGTTTATTTTAAATATACTATTTTAATCATTATTTTTTCTATTTTTAATTAACTATTATTTTCTGATTGAAAAATGAATAAGAGTCTACTTACAGTTATTTTTGTACTACTAAAAAATCATACAACAAACCGAAAATTCTGGAGCTTATTTAAATTATTCATAAAAAAAAGTCATTAAATAACTGTTATATTACCTTTTTTCGATAAGAGAATATTTTTTTACATATGCATACAGAGACATTTTCGGTTTTTTCTCGATCTATTGGTACAATTGACTTTTTATACCCTTGCAGAGGGTATTATAATTTTGGTCAAAAGTGTGCAACGCAGTGAAGGAGACATCTCCGACCCTATAAAGTATACAGTCAGCACAAAATTTATTCGGACACTGTCTATTATCAAGTTTAACAGCTTATTTGCCGGAATTTTCGTAATTTTAGCAGGTTTTTTTTTACTTATCATAGAAACAGTGATTTTCAGAAGACATTACACAAACAAAAATGTAATTTTTTAAATTAGCCTTAAAAATATTAAAAGAAAAGCAAAAAAGTTGCTAAAATGTTGCACAAAAATTATTCGTACATTTCTCATTTATTGTGTTTATTTCTGAGCACAACGGTAATAGGCGATTCTTTTTAAAGTAGTTTAGTTGAAATTACTTCGGAGTAATTTTCGGCGTGCTTTTTTTTTTGTTTTTTGTTAGTTTTTATGTGTTTTTTTGATACGATTGGTCAAAATAAAAGGAGTTCAAGATTTGTCACTAGATTTTCGAAAACCTATCTTAAATTCATTTTTGGAAAATCGTAGTTATCGCGAAATCGGTCGTATTAATGGAAAATCACCTTCCACAATACATAGTATAATCCAAAAATACTTAAAAACGGAATAATGAGCTTCAAATCACAAGAAAGCTAGAAGGTCTAAGA